AATTAGCGCTATACTTGTATATAGGAATTGCGAAGCCCGAACGGCAAGTCATCCTCGACCTCTTCCGCATGCTTCCTCCTGCTTCCTCCCACCCACTTCCCATTCCTATTACCATTACTATCTATATCCGCATCGGGACACTCGGAAAAAAGTCTCGTCCTAAATACAACAATTGACCTACAAGAAACATGATGTTTTCTTGTAAAAACAAAAATATTGGGTGCCTTAAAATGATGTCTAAAAGTACGTAATGAATACTTTTTTACACTAGTTTTCAAACATATTTTAAAGGTTTTTAAAACACTAGTGACTTCTATATTACCCCAGAAAATGGAAGTTAAATCATAATTAAAGAAGATTTTTCCGTGAATTTTGTTGTAAGGAAAATATGATTTAAATTGATAAAATAATATTTTAAAAATATATTTTTATTGCTTTAAATTCTTCTGACTTAAAAACAATAATAAGATAATGATTATACTGCTTCTAAAATATTTTTAAAGAATTTTTATGAAGCCTCAGAGAAATTTGTTTATATTCATTTAAAATCCTGAAACCTACTTCATATATATTTTTTGTAATAATTATAATTAATCCCTTATTTAGGACGACTTATTTTTCTGAGTGCCTGCGCATCCTGGGGCTCAAGCCCGCCCCACATTTTGATATGGTTCCGCTTAAGCGGGAACGCTTAAATTCGCTGGTTGTGGCAATTGTTGCATCGCCCGCCGCCCCACCATCGCAGTAGCCCGGATATGCCGCGCAGGCCATAAAAAACAGCTAGTAGCCAGCTCCAGGATGTGGGTATCATGGAGGAGCCGAGAGCGGGGGCTCGTCCCTGCAGCGGCAGCTGCTCCTTCTCCAGGCAGAGCCGGAACTCATCGTAGTCGAGGCGCGTGATGGCGCAGTAATGATTGAGCATGCAGAGGCCCTGGCAGGCCGCGCCGGACTGATACCGCACGGCGTTGGCTCGGTGATATCTGAAAGGAGGCAGAAGGCAGGAGGATGAATAAAAAGCGGCAGAAAAAATAGCTCTCAGTTGTGGTGTCATTTGGAGTGGGAGGTCCCTGTTTGCTCTAGTCTGTATCGGTGGACAGTGGGGTAGCAGCAGTTCTCATAAATGCCCTCGCTCCACCTTGATTTACATACTGCTGGGTGAGTTCTAGGGAGCGGAGAGATTATGGAGTGGGTGGTACTCCATGGTGGCCCAATTGAAGGCGTTACCGCCGCCCTTAAATTGTCCCCGCAAACGGACAAAAAGCTGCATAGCCTGTTAAGCTCTGCATTTCCCTGAAGTGGTTATAGATGACACTGGCTTACTTGAAAGGGGTTTCTTAATATTATATTTTATTTAATTTGTAAAAATTCTAGGTGTTTCCTTTTTAAATTGAAGCCACAAAAAGCGCAAGTAAAATTATTTCACTTACTATTCCAAAACACATACGTTTTGCCCCCTTTAAAAATAACTACCTTAATTAAGAGTCTCTCAGATTAAATTCATGGCATTCCCCAAACAAAACCAACACATTGCTGGCTAGTGTAATTGAGTGTGTGCTTCCCCAACTGAATTAAACTGTTCAATTTCAATCAATTAAAACTTGTTGGGGAAAAAACTTTAGCAGAAACAAAAAGGGTTTTAACTAAATGCACACTCTGTCCTTCCCAGGATCTTTGGAGTCACAAAAACTCTATTTGGGTAAAAGTTAAATTTTTGGTTTCAAATTTGAAATAGTTTTTGTTGGAAAACAAACAACTAAAAACTCCTGAAGTAAATGTCAATAAAATGCTCAATTAAATGCGTTAAAGGTATATCAACGTTACATACGTGCATGTGCACTTTTTGGGGGATTCATTTTCAAACGGAATAATTCGATCAATCAGCTAACAATAAAAAATAGTAGACACTTTTAATATATATATTTTTTTTTGTAGTCTGACGCTATTGTAAAGCGAGGACTGAGCTTCACGTGAAGGGATTAAATTGGAAATAAAAAGCCTTGACGATTTGGGCAAGGATAAAAGGCGATTTTTTTGGAACATCAAAATGAGTGTATTGAAAGGATGCATTTCCTGTAATCCTTAGAAGCATTTTTGGTGTGCATTTATTGCGACAAAGATGTATTGGTAGGAAATGTTACTTAAATATATACAAAATATTTGGGGGCCCCGAAAATGTAACTTAAATATATGAAAAATGTTTCGGTGCCTTTGTGATTTGTAGAGCTTTTATAAGGTTAAGAAATTGGGGTAAAATGTACAAAGTGTGAATATTTAAGCAAGCCATTAAATCTTTTTTACTTCAGTTACAATATTGTGGGATATTGAAACCCAAATTATCAAGATAAATCAAGAGAAAATTAAGAAATTCTTAGCAGCAAAAAAACCATTTTAATGAAATTTTTAATTATGTAGTTAAGTCCATAACATCCAACTTTAAATAGCTAGTATCTTTCAGATACAGAACCTCCTATATTTTACTACACAAGGCCCATCAAATTTGTACTCTTAATATTTTGTAACAAAGATAACACATAGAATTAATTTAACAATTATCATATTCGTAAGTAATCTTAAAAATCCCAACAGAGCTATGTTTTCAACCTATTTATTAACACTTAAAATAAAATAATAATAGTTAGAATTAAGTAACTTTAAAGACTTGATTGCCAAAATGAACTTCACCAATTTCAGCTAATTTTCGGTCATTATTAATGACGTTGTTAAGCGTACTTAAGGCCGCAAATGTATCTCCCCACAAACACAAACATTATTATTTATCGCAAACCTAACGGGCTGCCCAACCAAATCATTCTGTGGACACTGGGGATTATCGGTCAGTTCGCCCGGCAGTCATTTACCTGGTGAACCAGGAGAGGTCGGTGCCCGTGAAGCGCTCGGCGAAATTGTGCAGCGCTACGGCGGAGATCTCCGGCAAAGCATAGTAGTGGGTGAGATTGTACTCCGGCTGCCATGTGGGCTCGTGGGCCCGGTTGGCCAGCGGCAGATCCAGCCAGAACTGCGTGTAGTCCAGCACCTGGCCGCTGCCCGTGTCGAACTTGTAGAGCCGCAGGGCGGGATTGTTCGACGACCCAATGCCGGCCTTGCGGGGCACAACCGAGGGGGCAATCATCAGCCATGAAATGGGATTGCCTGCCAAATGGAATAGGGGAAAAGAGCGGGGAGTTATAGCTTAGATTAAACAAGGTTAAAGCATGAACCACAAATAAATTTCTTTGGGCTTTAAAGAGCTTATAAGTTTTTATTAAAGTAAATTTATTTTTAAAATTCTTTAAATATAACTCACCCTTGGCATCGTAGATCAAACGGAAGGTGTCCGAGTGCAGGTGACCAAAGAACTGGCCCTGGATGACCGAGGCGTATTTGCGGACCATCTCCAGATACCGCCGGTTGTTCCGCTCCGTGAAGATCAACTGGTTGTGCTGCTGTGGACCCAGATGACGCTCATCCACGCCCGGCGGCATGTGCCCCACTATATAGACCTGGTAAAAGTCAAAAGCCAAGGATTAAAGGACCTTATTATATATATGAAATCAATTCTTTAACGCTGCAAATTAAATATTATAATTAATCAAAAAGGCCTGCTATCCGATTTCATTTCAGGCACGTGCAGGCCGAGGCAGGGAAATAAATATATTTAATATATGCATATTTGCACATGCAAAGGCCTTTTAAATATCTCGTTAATTTCAGAAATATTTCAGCTTTGGCTTTACGCGTTGTAAACATTAAATTCATGTACATCCTGTGCTGAAAATTTAATATTCTGCTGCTAAATAAAGTGTAGAAATGTGTGGAATTTAAAGGAATTTTGCAAGTTAATTGGGAAACTCCTTTACAATCAAAAATAATGATTACATTTTAAATTGAATAATGTTGTATGTTATTCCACAAATATCTTCGATAAATCCCTTAATTGTTGAAAGTGTTTCACATACCGTTTCCTGTTTATCCCTTGACTTCGAGAGCACCTCCTCCAGCCACAGCCACTGCTGCTCGGCCAGCAGCTCATCTTCTCCCGTACTGGAGCTCACAGAGGCCTTGGGCTCTGCAAAGTACTCGGCTGGCCAGCGTAGACTCAGCGAAGCCCTTGGATCTGGATCTGGATCTAGTCGCATGAAGTTTGTATTAAGAGCCACTATCCTAAGTCGGCTCTTGGTCTGCTCGATGGAGTAATAGCCACCCTGATCGAAGGTCACCAGTGCCTCGGAAGGCAGCCAGTGTCGCCACAGTTCTCCCAATCTCTGGTAGCTGCCACTCCCATCCTCATGGCCCAAAACCGGAAAGATGAACTGCGAGGAGAAGCTGCGGCCCAGCAGGTCCGTTATATTCCTCAAAATCTCGTGCTGCTTCTGCTCGGATAGGGGCTGGGCGGAGTGAGACAAAGCATCGCCGGTCCACAAAACAAACTCCACATTGTCGCCCTGCTTAGCCTTCATGGTCTTCACCGCCGACTCGATCAGACTCCATGGACTATCGCAGTTGTAGTGGCCAAAGTGGCCAGGTGCCTCTGACACCGCATTGGAGCTGGAACCAGGCACAGAGCGGGCCAGCTGCCAGCAGCTTTTGTAGATGTCGCCGTCGGTGGAGTAAATGGTGTCCAAGTGCAGGTCACTGATGTGCCAGAAGTAGCCTGTGAATGGAGGGATAAATATTTATTTTTATATATTAAAAATTTATAAATTACATAAGTAAATCCAGCACGAATCAATATTGTATTTATGGAGAGATTTCCCTTAGATTAAATCTTGACTTTGGCTAAGTCCTCGGGCCATTCCTGGCCGGGAAAGGCCGTTGGCTGGGCATTTACCCGCCGGCTGGCCCAGGAGAAAAACCTAGGCGCCCCAGAGAATTCCCTGCAGCTGACTGCTTGGTTGACTGACCTGGACTTAAGCGCCTTTTTACCTACCTGACCTGGCTCTAACCGAAAGTCACAAAGCCACAAAGTCAATCAACGAGCCAACGAGCTGAGTTGCCGACGAAGATGGAGATCAGTTTCATTTGGCATGCGCTGTGATCGGTTGGCCAGGAGATACAAGCGCAGATTGCGAGACAGGATCAGAGGACAAGGACAGCGATTGGGAAAAGGACACCGAACGAGAAGCACTGAAAGAGGCATTCCTTTCATGCCCGGTGAGAGCACACGGTGTTGAGTCAAAGATAGCAGGATGAGCCTAATAAGGATCGGGCTGGCGCTGCTGCTCCTGGTGGCCACCACTGCCCAGATGGTGTATCCCGTTCAGGGACGTCGGAAGCTATGCGGCGAGGCGCTGAGCGATGCCCTGGACCTGATGTGTACCAATGGCTTCGCCAGCCGGGCTAAGCGGAGCATCAGTAAGTATATTTGGATCAATCTCACCTTTCCAAGTTTCAACTAACTTCGGTCTCAAGCGGTGCAGGACAGAGGGTTGGCCCTGATCCGGAAGCTCCAGCCACATCGGCCGGAAATGGACATGGAAACGGAAACGGACCGTCCAGCCACCGGAAGCTTACGCAAATTGCGACGCCTCCGACGCCGCGTGGCCCACGCGTGCTGCAAGGAGGGCTGCACCTACGACGACATTCTGGACTATTGTGCCTGAACAGCCCAACCAGATCCCGTCCACACACCGTTGCAGACCAGACCAGACGGAGCACCACTACCCCACATTGCAGAGATCCCGAGCAGGAGCAGGACCACGACTACGAGCACGAGCACGAACAGGAGGAGCGGAGGCGGAACAGCAGGGACGACAACAGGCAAAGGGCCAACGATGACGCGGACAATGCCCACAGTGAACCAACCCGACGACGTTCTGCAATTCATTTTCCTACACTTAACCCTAAATATAAACGTAATCATATTTCCAAATATTTCATTGTAACATTCTTAGTGGAAGCAAATAAAGTTACTTTCAAGCAGCAGCAGCAAGAAAACAAAAGGTTTCTGTCCTTTTCACCGCCGAACAGTGGGCATAAATAGAACATTTGTGTTTATAAAGGGAACAGGGTATAATCACTTTAGTCAGAAGCTAATAACGCAGTAGAGAAATTATCTCTGACGCTATAAATCATTTATATTCTTGATCTTGAAAAATAAACATTTTGATCTTAAGCCTCTGCAATGAATATTTTAGTACTTTGTTGTGCTAAATGATGGTAAAAATTAGAATGATTACCAAAACTCCGCCTACTCGCCTTCAAATGTTTATTAAGAATATAATATACCCTGTTCCTATTCCCATTTTTCCATAGAGTCCTGAATATTTCATTGCATGTTTTTAGACACCTGTTTTAAACGTTTTCAAATCCACACCAACAAAATGCTCTAAATAATAATTCTGGTTTTCAAAATGCCAAAGAATTTTTGGTATGTTTCCATAGTAATTTGACGGCATTCCAGCTGTGCACTCAATGCCACAAGGCTTGCGGGGAATCCCCAAGCCCCAAATAACACCCACCGAAGCAGGCAACAGCACCACCCATTGCCACCCACAGGCAGCTGCCATTCAGCACCTTGTTTTCCGAGAACAATAATGAAAATGATGAATTTTTAATTAGATGACGTTCTGATTTTAATAAGCAAAACAAAAGAGGAGCCGAGACGAACGAGGAATACACTGAGTTTCGGCTTCAGTTTCAATTCCATCCCTTTCCCCTCTTATCGATTGATTTGGTCGATACACAAAATAACTGGTAAACAACTTCCAATCGTCGGTAGTTTTCCTGCAGATAAGTCACTTTTTGTCCGAAAAGATTTGCAATGATAATAGGTAACGGGGCTTTCAGGTAAAAAACTACCTGACTTTCGGAGGGACTCAAAGGCTCAGCAGCGTACTTATCGCATTCAGGAGGGAACTTGCGGCAGAGGGAAACCCCAAAGTGTTGAGGCACTTAACAAAGATAATGAGATAACACAAACGGCGTTATTGTTTGCCCAGTAAAGCAATTGAATAATAACTTGGCTCTTGTTTTTGTTTATGCCATTTTGAAGTGAGGAAGGACGGAGGAGGCCTTGGGAAAATAATCCTTAGATGGAAATAAGAGGGACAGAAAATGGAATGCTTTTATTTCCAGGTTACTTTTTAATTGGGAATTATGGTTGGTCAAGGAAAGGTGCAAAAAAGATTAAAGACATAATATTTATAAAATGAAATTGATTTGGTAAATGAAATAAAGAAAACTATATTTAAATTGAGTTTAAAATTTCGTACACTATTTAAAAGATTTAACTACATTTTAAAGCTTTAACTGAATATGTAACAATATTTCAATGAAAATGCATGAACTAACTTTGCCACACTCGAGTTGAAATTTATGAAGTAAAGCTTGTTAGCAGGGTAAACTTTTTTCGCACACACCCAGGCGCAAAATGTTAAAGACCCTCATCTGCCTGGAAGAGAACTCAATGCCCGTCATCTTGTTGTTTTCCAGCTATCCAGATCCATCGGCTTTGTGCGTTATTATTTAGTCCAGAACGTAAACAAACGTCAGCTGATGTACGTAAGACCCCCCGGTATCAGCCTTTGCCCCATTCCCCGCTGGGAATTCCAGGCATACACAGCCACAAAGGGATAAATAACAACCCACACCAGAGGCCAGAGACCAGAGACCAGAACCAGACCAGTACCCAACTGTGGTGCTAACTGACACTCTGGCTAACGCGGCCTGACAGTGTGTGGACTCTGTACTCCTCGGATCGCCTTGGATTCGGGTTGATATAAAACCCTGCGGCGCGGCTGGGAGCCCACACAGTCGTGGCTGGGCCACTTGGCAGACGACACCTACATCCACTCCGGGACAGAGTGAAGTAAAGCAGCAGCATCATGGCCATCGAGATGCGGCGTCGGATCCTGTTCCATGGTCTCTTCCTGCTCATCCTGGTGATCGGTGGGGTACGAGCCAATGTTATACTTTGCGGCGAGGAGTTAACCGACACCCTAAACAGGATTTGTCACTATGGCTACAGGAGAAATTTGGGTAAGTCGTATTCCGAACTGAGTTCTATATATAATCGATTGTATTTAAGTCTTTTATTTCTACAAAAATCTTGAGAATGAGAATTCACCTTGAAATCGTTCGTTTATCTTAAAATATATATTTTCTTTTGAGAAAAGTCATTAGTGGGAACATTTTCATTTCAGTTTCAGATTTGATTAATGAATTGTATTAAGTGTGATTTAACTCAACACCTTTTGAATAATTTTGACATTTATTCGTCAGGGAATTTTGAATGACAAATTTACTTAAATATGTTTAAATTTATAGTCAAAATCTTAGGAAAATATACAAGTTGTATCTATCTGCAATGCCATTTTACAAAGAAAATTGGTAGGAACATCTAGCTATTAAATGAAAAATTTAAATAAATTAAAACAATTGATTATTCTTTCTTAATTATTATTCCTATGAATTGAATGATTTATTTTCATCAACTATGGAAAAAAAAAAATGTTTAAACAATGCTGTTTATTGACCCTATTTTATTTCGTGCATTCCCCAGGTCTCAATTCCATCCCAGACAGATCCCACGAACTTAGCTTTGAGGAGCGTTCGCTCCTGGATCGAGTACGTTTTGGAAGTGGCGTCCTGAGCCTAAATGAAGCCTGTTGCGACAAGTCCTGTGCGATGGAGGAGCTGATGCAATACTGTGTGGATAAGCCCGTTCCATGAACCCCGCTTCCCTCGCCAAAAACTGCTGAAAAGATCTGACTAGAGTCTCCCTTAGGCCTTAATTCGCCGGCAAAGCCCAGTCAATATCCTTCGGATATGATGTAAATGCACGCACATTGAATGGGCGATGTATGCGCATAATTTATGATCGGAAATCAGAGACAGACACGCGAAATGAATCGGAAAACGGGGCGATATATGCATGTATATAGAGTATAATGTATGTTTGGACAGGGCCTGAATACATCGACTGGGTATAAATTAATAAATAAATTATGTATTCAAACTGCTGCGGATTGGGCAACTTGATTGGTAATTAAACGGGTATTACATTGATTTTTCATTGTCGTTGATTGCAGTTAATTATTTATTGACCCAATGTCCGGGAATTCTGTATTGTAAACTAACTTTGGGGTTGGCGGAAATAAAGAGTTTCGAACGATTTCTGCAGACTTTTGTTGTAATTTCAAAATAATGGCATTTTTATACACACAACAGATGAAGTTGAAAATCGACAATTAAGCTGATTCGAAGCGGATACTGGGTTGTGGCTTGAGTTATCAGAATTATATGTTTACTTGTACTGTTAGCTAAATATTTAAAATATTTGAAACTGCTTTACTGCAGTAAATTAAATATTTATTTAATTAATACATATTTCTATTGGATGTTTTTGGAGTAAGAAATGGTTTCGTTCTCAGCTAGGCCTTCTTCTAGAAAATGTTATGTAGTACTTTATAGAAATTGTGTTGATTATTTTCAACTTTTAATATTGAACCTTCACTTAATGAATGTTAAGATATAACTATTTAATAATTTGATGTTAAGCATTTATACCCATATCTATCTATCTACTATCTACTTTCTACTAAGATACTTTCCACTTTATCTGTATTACCTCTAGAATTATGTATTGGACGAAGTAGTAATAAACCCTCAAATAAAGACCCAGTTAAATGTTTGTAATATCACTGTATTTGAGAACACTTTGCACTTGTATGGTTTGCTAACGCCCAAAGCAGGATATATTTAATCTATGTAGATCGTTCGAGAACGGTAACATGCAACAAGCTATATATAAATGATGATGATCGTCCTTCGTATGTACTGGTTTGCAACCAGGTCCTGAGGCAAACAATTGGGTCCTGAGTCAAGAGTCGGAAGAGTGATTCGGATTGGAGAGCAATTTACGGACTGGCCGCCACGGAGCAGTACTCCATGAGGACGGCGTAGGGACAGGTGTGCTTGCAGCACCTGTCCACGATGCCCTCTCGCGTGCGTCGCCGTATGGAAGCCAAGGAATTGAGGGCCGCGACTTCGCCTCCATAGAAGCGACCGCGCAGGAGCGGACTGGTCAGCTGCCCCGGTTCCTCATTGGCCTCCACGTACTGAATGGGATCGAGTGGGTCCAGTTCACTGGCAACTGCTAGGGATTGAAGGCAAAAGGTGAGTAGGCACACTACCTGGAGAGGATCTTCCGGGGGAACACTTACACTTACTCATGCCCCGCTTCTGGGGCATTATGCTATTGAACTCGTCGCACACCATCATCATCATGTCGTTGAGCTTCTCGCTGCACAGCCTGTAATCCGAGTAGGGCATCTGGGCCAGCGAGGAGTTGCAGGCCAGGAGCAGCACGAGGAGCACCGAGGTGAGGGAGACGACTGCCTTGCACATGGTTGTGTGTCCCTGTGATCTTGGGGATTAACTCTGGGGAAGATGCTGATGGTGGAACTGCTGCTGCTGCTAGTAACTGATGCTGTTGGGATTAACGAAGCCCGCTTATATACAGCTGGGTCTTGGTCTGGTTCTGGATCTGGGTCTGGGTCTGGGCCACTTTAACCCCGGAGGCAGGCAGTGTCAGGTTGCGTTAGCCACGGGATGAGTGCATCCGGTACTCTTCGCCTGGCTAAACTCGTTCAATGTCAAAGCTGACTTATGCAAATGGCTATTGGCAAGCCAGAGAGGGGGGTGGCTTGGAAGGGAAATGGAAATCTCCCTGTTTCTGTTTTCGGTTTTCTGGGGGCGTTTGCTGTCAGCCAATTAAACAATTTATGTATAAACAGCCAGGCCGTGCTAAGCCCTGCATTTATGAATACCAAATGAGCAAGGACGAGTAGGAATTCTGTGTTCCTCGCCCACAATACTTACCAATACGCGCCTGGGCCATGCCGAAACAGGCCAAAAGCCAGCTCAACTGGGCCAGCATCTCGGGTTGGCTGGGATGGGATGGGATTCCTCCGGCGCCTCCTTAGAACTTTTCCTTTGACGCCTGCTTCTACTTCTTGAACTCGAACTCGAACTCAAACTCGAACTGGAATTTCTTTTTGCACTGTCTACTTTTATTCATTAGTCAAAGTTGGTGCTGCATAAATAAGTGATTACGATTACGAATCGGATTACGAGTGAACAGGGCGAGAGTATGTAGTGGGTATGTGGGGAATGTGTGTGCGTGGCGAGTGGGTCAAGTGGCTCATTGGGACAGGCAGTAGGCGGATATCTCGTCGTAGGAGCAGGGGGACACACAGCACTCGTCGTAGACGCCTCCGGGCAGGTGTCTCCTCTGGCGGCGTGTTTTGATTCTAAAGCCGGAGGCCACATCTCCATCGCCTTCTTCAAGTGCATACCAGTTGGACAGCAGCAGGCGTCCCAGGGGGGAGGAGGAGTAGTCTGCTCCTGGCACACCGGGCTGTGGTATACGCTTCTGAGGCAGCGTGTTGTAGCCATGGGCACACACCATATCCAGGGCTTCGGAGAGCGCGGCACCGCAGAGTTTGTGGTTGCCAGCTGGCAGCTGATGACCGCTGGCCAGGATGGCCATAATGGGCAGCATAGCGATTAGCATCCGCAGGCCATGAACTGCACCGGTGTCCTGGCAAATCATCTTCTTCGCTGTGTATGCAGATTATCGTCCGCATCAGCTGGTATTTATACCACCAAACACATCGGTTTTAGCTGCAGTTCAATGGCCTTGCACAGGATTCAAGTTGCAATATTGCAGTCTGCCCAAAAAGAGACGAGCTTTTGCCACCTGTAATTTAGGCAAAGGAGTCTCTCAACAAGGCTGGAATCTATTTTAAGACATCCTTTAACTCGAACTTGCTCAAGCATATTTTTACACTGCCAATAAAATATTTCAATGCTTAGAAGAATATCTTTGTGACCTTTTCGATTGTGCTTCCAGCTTCTTTGATTGTCCTTGGAAATTCCACTCACTAGACTATAAAAACATTTAGTTCTTAAAATAATATTACCATTAACCTTTTATAAGAGTTCCCCCCTATATTCTCTGAGTGTAATCAACCTCCTTGAGCCGCCCCCACCGTTACATCCTCGTAACCTGTTACTTTGCCGCTAAGAGGCTGTGACTGCTGTCGATTGCGATTACGATAAAGCCGCGGCTCCTGGGATTAGATTGGACGGGAACAGGTGGCAAGTGGCAAGTGGCAGCCTCATTTGCATGCCGCCAGGTGGAAAGTATGCTTCACTGCGCTTCATCCCGCGACGACGACAGTGTGCGAAATCGCTGGTGGGTCGTCGATCGCTGGTTCGATTGCCGAATCGCACGCGGTGGCAACAGTTGGTCGCCTGCGCTGCACTCGAGACGTTTTCAGCCAAGTGAAACTCCGGAAAGTTTGCGAGAGAAAGAAGGCCGTAAAAGATCGGAATCGGATTAGGAATCGCGGAATACTAACCAAGCAAAAAAAAATGGTGCTCGACATTAAGATGTGCCGCTTCGACAATGTGCCCTGGGGCTTTCGCCTCGTGGGCGGCTCGGACTACGACTATCCCCTGATGGTGGTTAAGGTTAGGCCCGATCTGTATGGACTATATATATGCCCTACTCACCTCACCTGTCACCTGGCCCACCTGAATATGGCTTAGCACATGTGCATTGGGAAAATCCCCACAAATAAGCGAACAGTGTTTCGGACATTAATTTAGTGTTTTGTTATTTTTTATTTCGATCGATATTGCAGCAGCAATTACGTAACGCGGTGCGTGTGTATCCGTTTCGATTTGAATTTTTGCGCTGCATTGGCAAATTAGTTTAGTTAATTAAAGTAATTCCTCGCGGCCCGCGACTGCCTTTGTTTATCTAATCGACAGGCCCATGCATTTTCCCGCTAATGAGCCGCATAATGGCCCAGGCCGCCACCATCGACTTATTTAAATTCAAATTCAAATTTTAATTGTGTTTCACTCGCAGTGTCGTCTCGCTTTGTTGCATTTTGCAGTGCATAAATTGCATTTTACATTTCGAATTTCACAGTTTGTAGCATTGTGTTGACACCCAGCAGCAGTGGCAGCAACAATAAAACATCAGCGCAAATGCGAAACAAATACGATTTTTAATTGGCAAACCGAAAACGCACACAAGCGAACGACGGGGCCCAGCGACTGCAAGGGGAGACCTTCCGGTTCCCATTGCCATAAATCAATTTAAATCGGAGCATAATATAAACATGCTGCTAAAGTAATAAATTAAAAATGTTAGTTTGCTGCAAGCAGTCAATAATTAATTTGGCAATGTTTAGAAAATACAATGTATGAAGGTTGTAGTTAGATTGTGTGCTTTGTTTAATAACCTATGGGATTTTACATAAATTAATTGAAAATATATTATCATTAAAGTATCTATGATAAGGAATTTTGTATATATTTGTTCATATGCTAGTTTAAATCGATGCCTAAAATCAACAGACAAAGCCATTGTTAATCAATTTTTAGGCAAAACAGTTTGCAAAATAACAAAAATTTTAATATTTAAGATACTTTATTGCTTTGTTTTTATAATTTAATATATTAAAAACATATTATTTAGAATATGCTAGGATTTTAAAGTCCCTTTAAAAGGTCTATAAAAGTATTCTATAAACTGTAATATAAGCTATGCAAATTTGTTTTATAACATCGTGAGCCTACTTTTGGATACCTATTTTAGGGGATTTCTTTAGCACTCACTACATTTTGATTCCGTGCCATTTTATATCCCTGAATCTAATAAAAAAATGTCACATCTCCAGAAATATTTCTACAAATTCAATTTCAATTCGAATGTTGAGTGAAAAATGCTTCCACACACATATACATTCATCCCATAAGTTGCTCAAAAATATTTAACTTGAAAACACCCCGCTTAGGGATCACATTTTCCGTCACACTTGCAGTTGATTCCATTTTATTTTATTTGATGTTCCAACATTCAGCGCCATATGTTTGCTAGACAAACACTAAACAAGCGCAGTCAACGTAATCTTTTGAAAATACCTCTGTTATTCTTCCACTTTTCGCTCTGCCTCTTGGCACTTTTGCACATCCTTGAACATATATATACATACAGAAATATATATATAAGACGAGGCTAAGCCGCCAGTCAGTGTTCTTCTATAAATATGTATATATCCGAGACCTTTGTCGATGTCGAGTGTTCACCGCTGGAAATTGACTCCGCCATAAGTGAAATTCAAGAGGCTCTGGGGACATGGAAAGCCGTGGAAACCCCTCGTATTTTTCTGCACTATTTGCATTACTAAGACCTCTTCTCGGAGCCAATGTCGTGACTTTCCTGGTTTGCAAAGCGAAAACAATACGGTTTATTTGCTGTGGAAATTTCTGCAAAATCACCTGAATAATACAATAAATATTCGAGTTTGATAAACATGAGAAGCCTTAACATCAAACCTCCATCTGAATTTCATTTCATAACTTTTAGCGCTCAATTAGAAACAGTTTCGCAACACACACCCACAAATGTGTGTGTGTTTAGATTCTATGTGAAAGCAATTTAATCTCCATGAAGTAGGGGGATTTTTAATGAATACCCACAATTTAAATGGTCAATTTGCACACGTTTGTGTGCACTTTATTGCCCAGAAAAACTGCAAAACTTAAATCGTATTTAGTTATAAATGGTCTCGGACAACTTTTTGAAATTAAATCCTCCATGTAGCTTCCTTTGTGTTATTGTTGGAGGGGCAATATAATCTGGTTGGAAAGTGGAAACTAGAAAGGGGGTTTTATCTTTTTATTAGATACGAGTTTAATTTCTGTTATGCGAAGACTTTTGAAAATGTTTTTTTTTGGCATGTGTTTGTGGGATCTATACGGAATTAGAGCATAATTTTAGACTGCTTAAGAGGAGATTTGAAATCTCTAGAGCCATTATTTTATATCTCTTTAGTTTCTTATACGAGGTTTCGTAGGTTTAGTTACCCAGTCATCCCTTCTAATTTATTTTTAAAATGTTCTTAATATTTGTTTAACTTTTAGCATAGTTTTAGACAGCTGTACAAGCGATTTCCAATCTCAAGAGCTTTCATTAGAGACTCCTCTAGCACTTGACAAGTTTTTGCCCTAAGAGTGCTTCATATTAACATACTTGGCTTGGGTTAATTTCCCAGCACTTAAGTGGAGAGCTGTTGATGTATTTCCTCATTTTCTGAAGCACCCCTCGCTAGGCACCCAATGGGAAAGCCCCCCTCTTGGGCATTGTCTTCCCATTCTCGAGGCGTGCGTGCCGCACAGTGTTCTGGGTTCTGGGGTCTGGGTCTTTGCTTCTGGTCTTTGTTTTGTTGACATTTGGCGCGCGCTTTATTTTTATGCACTTAGCACGCGACGCCATAGTTGCCGCCGCTGTCGTCGACTAATAGAAATTTGCCCATTATCGCAACGCGTCCATTGTGCCGCTGTGTCAGCCGTATCTGTATCTTTAGCTGTATCTGTATCTAAATCTTACCATGTGCCTGCTCTCGAACTCTCGTATGATAGGTGACCGAGGGCAGCATCGCCGAAGAGGCTGGACTGCGAGTGGAGGACATCATCGTACGCATCAATGACACGGCTGCCACGCCCCTAACCCACGACGAGGCCCACCGGCTCATCATGAACAGTGGGAGCGTCTTTTACTTTGGCGTCTACCGGTGAGCGTTTCCTGGTCCCACAGCCTTGCTCTTGCCCCCATCCTTGTTCCTGGTCCTTTGTGTCCCATCCGCCGAGGACCATTTATCACGGCTGAGCGGACTAACAACTCAAGGACCTTTCATTATACCCTTGCAGAGGAGGGGTTTATTTTGTAGTAGTAGTTGAAAAGACCTCTAAGAGGCAGTCTGTGTTCTATTTTAAGACAAATTAGTCTCAGGTGCATTTAAAACTATATTTTCTAAGATTATTTTCGGTGAGAAAAATGGTAAAAATATTCTGATATTTTCAAAGAAATTTATAGATTTATTTACTTAAGTTTTTCGCATACAAATATACCCTTCTGAGGTATCCCTTTCCCAAGATTTATGGCTCAAAAATAGGTTACTAATAAAAAAAAGCATAAAAGAGCATTTTCAAACTAAATTCAGTTGGAATTTCTACGCTGGTCTGCTCCTCTGCAAGGGCATAACTAACCAAGGTTCCTGGTGCTGAACCTGCAGTTCCTTTCTCTTTTCTTCTGTTCATCTTTTTTTCGGTGATTTTGCAGAGAGAACGAGGAGGACGCCTACGAGTGCCTCCAGAAGTTTCCCACGAGCGAGGGTTCGTTGACCAAGTCGCCCACGCCACTGCTAAGGCCATCGCCGACTCCGTCACCGTCTCAACCTCAGACTCTCACGCTGCTCCAGCTGACGGAAGCCACAAATGCCCGTACTCCGGAACCGGAGACCCATGTTCCTGCAGCTGCTGATGCGCCAGCAGCTCCTGCGCTGGAATTCGCTGCCGTTCAAGCGGTGGATGTGAGTGTCACGGCGGAATGTCGCCCAGCCATGTCGGAAGTGCATTCGGAAGACAATCGCGGGGATGTGCCAGCTGAGGCGGAAGAAGTCGAAGTCGTAGCAGAAGCCGGAGCTGGGCAAGGGCTCGAAGCAGCTCCTGGTCTTTACTTGCCCGATTTGCCCGATCGTCCGTGCTCCGCGCTGTCCGAAAGGGCGGAAATTAAGCTGGTGGAGGAGGAAATTGCCGCCGTGCTGTCCGGCGAGTCGGAGGTGCTCAAGGAGCACAATGTCCTCGGGTGCGTTGCATTCAATTTCACCCGTTTCCTGCTGCTGTCCACCAGCCTGTCTTGTCTGGTCCCGCCTGTCCCCCAGAGTCCCTTTAGCTGAGTCCTTTTAACCGCTTCCACATGATAGCGTCAATTTCTATAGGATTTTCCCCAAGCCGGGCGTCTGCATGTCCAGCGACGTCCTGCGCTCGCTCAACGAAGAGGTGACCAAGACGAAGCTGGAGAAGGACAAGGAGAACCGCAAATGGTCCACCTTCCTTCAGAGACCCAACCGGCCGGTGCCCAAGAGCAAGCAGCAGCTGGAGGCAGAGCGAAGGGCGGCCAATGCCTACAAGGTGACGATTGTCAAGTCGGCGCCACGCGACAAGTCGCCCATGGTGAGTGTCCTCCCAGTTCAGCTTCCGCTGACCACTAACGGGGAAAAAACCACCAAGAATTTACAGAGTTCTTGCCTGACGTTTTTTCTCTCTGTGTGGATTATTTGCTGTCCGGATCAAAAGTTAATTTTCTCAATATGTGTGACAGCCGGAAGCTAAGCCGGCGCCAAAGGAAGCTACGCCACCCAAGGAGGAGGAGAAGGAGGAGGAGGTGACGGTGGCGGTGCCGGAACCAGAGCCTGAGGTCGAAAAGGAGGAGGAACCGCTGCCCACGGACAGTGAGGTGCCGAATCTGGAGCAGCTGCCTGAGAGCGAATTGCCACCGGACGAGCAGCCGGAGAAGGGCGATGCCGAGAAGGAGGCCTCACCGGAAGAGGCTTCACTGGCAGGCACCGAGGCTGGTGAAGCAACCGCGGTTACCGGCGATCCGGCATCTCCTTCTCCTCCGACCGAGCCCATAGCTCCACCTAAAACCGAGGAAGAACTGGCCCTAGAACGGCAGCTGGCGGATGTCCAGAGGCAACTGGCAGCCCTCTCCTCGCTGCCCTCCACCATACAGTCCACCCTGGATGCGGTGACCAAGCAGCTGGCCGAATTGCTGCCCACCTTCAAGCTGCAGCAGCAGGAGAGGCGGGAGAGCCAAGAGGGTCAGGAGCTACCGCAGATCGATGAAAAAACCGGCAGCGAGCCGGAAGAGGATGATGCAGGTGCTGGAAACTATGCCCAGGTCGACAGTAATTAAATTTTTCTAATGGCGCACTTTTGCGTATGTCCCTCCTTCTTTACGGCCCCTGGTGCCGTTCCACAGGCAAAGCCATATCCATATCTGGCACCGACAAGGACAACCAGGCGAACAACCATTGCCCAGCGGGGCCATGTGAGAGTAATGAGGATAGATGCGATGCCAATGACCGGGAAGTTGCGGAAATTTCGCGCTCAACTGACGACAATCGCCTGGCCAAGGACAAGAGCAAGGATACGGATGCGGAGAGGGACTGGGCCGAGCAGCCCGTGTCCGAGGAGCAGGGCTTCAGGAAGCAGAAGGTGAGTGCGCCGTTCCCTGGCCTTGGAGCGAAATGAAATCCCTGGCAGGGCAGTTAATGTAATTAGGCTGTCATGAGTTGGGTCTAGCAGCTTTTAATGGCATTAGAGAGCCTCCTCGGCCTGTGTTCTGTTCTGTCCCGTCCGTTTCAGTTCCTGTTCCTGGCCAGGACTCGCGCTAAACTATTTAGAGCAACAGGATTAAGCATCCTGCTTTATGGGATATGTTTCATTGTTTGACCGATGGAGCTGCAAAAATATATTCCCACCGTCCTTTTATAGTCCGCTTTCCCATCGCAGGCTGATTTGTTTAAGGATTTGGAAGCTTATCAGAGTTGGTTTAGCGGGTTTCCGAGTCAGAAAACAGGGGGAAAGTAATAAACGAAGTCGGGAACTTATATTTTCAATCATTTTAGGTCTTAGAGTTGTTAATAAAGATGGAGTCTTAGTGGAGCTACTTGGGAAAAGGTATTAAAAGGAGTTAATGTACTTTCTTTAGTTTAGAAATCTTAAGGGAAGTGAAGTTAATTATTAAATTAAAGAATCCATTATTAAATTCCTTAAAAGCCCTCCGAGATAATAAAATTCTTTATAACTTGGACAGAGCCAAACCAGATGATGTACGAGTAATAAGGTGCAGTTAAGGCAGCATTAAATTAATTAATCATCGCAGAGTGAGAATGATTTAGCTCAAAAGTGGGTCAACGCCAAGCGAGAGATAGACAAAACAGAACAGAAATAAAGAAAACAGTTGGAAAAGTGGCTCTATTTTGATTGAGATGGCAGAATAGCTTCAGAGGAAAATAATAGAAGGAAATTCCTTGGTCGTTAAGTCCTCACAACTATTCGGTTGAGTTCCGGAGTCAGTTTTTATCCCGGGACAAGCGACCACTTTGAGTCACATTATCCAGCTGGGGAGGCTGTGGGACAGCCCGGCAGCTGGACCTTCTCAGCGGGCCCGTGTCCACAAATCAAATTAACTAAAATGCCATTTGGTTTTTGTCTTTTTCTACTTGCAGCATAATGTGCGCTTCCAAACGTAGTTAGTTAGCTTTAATCGAGTTTAAATTTTGATAAATTGCCAGTGGCAAGTCCAAGACGCTTCGGTTCGGTTTGGTTTCGTTCTCTAGTTCTCTGATAATATCTGAATATCTGAATAAAGTCCTCGCAGCAGCGGCAGGGGAAAAATGCAGAAACCAAAAGACAATTAGTAGGCACCAAGTGGAAAGTGGAAAGCACTTCAACTTTGTGTCCTGTCCTGCCCTGTCCACTTGATTCCTACCCCCCCCGCACTGCCACCAACCTTCTATTCTGACTTGACCCCCCAAAAAATCTGTGTGTGTGCCTTTTCCATGGCTCCATCGCTCTCGTGTGTGTGTGCGCGCCCCGCCCTTCCTTCGGCATCCAGAGACACGATGTCATCGAGGAGCTCGAGGAGCATCTGGTGCGCAAGAACAATCCCCGGCGGTCGAAGCGCGCCTTTGGTCCTTTGGTCCCATCCTCGGAGCGTCCGCTGGTTCTACCCGGCGGCCGGCGCTGGTATCGTCCCAAGGATGCCTACAACGATGAGTTCATTGCCGAGACCCTGAGCGCCCAAGCAGAGCTCATCACGGGCAGCACTCTCGGGTGGGTACCCCCTCCTCCCTACTGCTCCTTCACCTCCACATGGACACCTCCCATGAACACACTCTTAGCCAATTGCGGCTAGTTGGCAATGTTTGGCCATGTTTGCCGTGGTCAAGCTCCGGCCATCCAGCCATCATCTCATCTCATGTCATTGCTCTGTCTACAGAGCAAACACCAAGCACAGAGAGAAAAAAATGGAAGCATCACCGGGGTATTAGTTTGAAGATCTAGATTTTGTAAAGACAATAGTTAAGGATTCTGCCTGATTTTACTTTGCTTTAAATCAATGTTGATTTTGCTCATACAACCGAAACACTTTGAAATATTAAAGCAAGAGTTCAATGGAAATAAAATGGAATTTTATGTTGGGAATAAAATTTAAAGTAAACATGAAAACTACAAGGAATATTATTATATCCTTTGCATACAATGATAGCCTTAAGGGAAATCTGTGAGTTACTGGGATATTAAGTTTTTAGCAAAGTGCATTATTTGGCCACTTTTTAAGGACATATTATTTAGAGAAAATGGTAGCTAATAACCTTAATTAATTAATTATAAGATCTCAGAAGTTAAAGCAAAGTTGTAAGATATGTTGGATAATGTTCAAACTATTAGCAAATATATTCCCAGAGACTTAACTTTAAAATTTAAAGTTCAGGCAGGGATTTATTTTGATAAAAACCAAAAGAAATAAACCCCCAGAGTTTGTGTGGTGGTGACAGCCCCAGTTTTTTGTCCATGTGCAGGCCGCAGACACTCCACCTAAAAACCATAACGTTACCTCATCGCCCGGCATTCATTTTCTCCACTTCTTCACTTTTCCATGGAACCACTCGCACTCGACTCTTTACATCGTCCATTGCACCATAAATTTGCGCATTAGCAGCTGCCCATATGAGAGCCCCTTGCTGGGCTACGATTCCAGGTAGTGTTTGATGGAGTAGCCATAGTCCAGATGCATACAGCGAACCCAGCACACCTAGCACCTAGCATATATCACCATCTAGCAATCTCATTATGATTATCGTTGGCATTATCGTTGGCTGCGACTGGGAACCATTGTGCACAGTGCCACACAGTGATTCGCAGACTCATTCGCAGCCTGTTCCCTCTATCTGTGTCTGTGCTGTTCCATATCCTGTCATACGGCCTGCAGTTGATTTGACTTTTCGTCCTGCGTTCCGCTTGAGTTCTTTATGCATGCTGCCTTTGAGTTTGCCTCCGCTGGCGCCCTTTAAGCCCTGGATCATCTCTTTTCTCCTTTGCTTTTCGCTTTCTGATTTTCATTGTAGATTGCATTTTGGAATCGTTTGTTCAATGGCGAGCATATAACACGCCAGCGCTTCAGGTAAGGTTGGCATGGTTCTCCCTGCGCCACTGCCCTCCACTTCTCGACTCTTTAATGAGGCTAACAACTTCTCTTTGCTCTTTGCTATGCTCTCTGTGTATGTATGTGCGTGCTCGTATATTTGCCCGCCCTTGTCTTGTACTTAACCAATGGGGGGAAAATGCGGAAAAACGGGATAACGCTGCGATTCCTACTTGGATTTCCCTTGGCCAGGGAGCTGCAGGGCCTCGGCCAGAGCCTGACCATGCAAAAGTAAGTTGTCACATTGGACTTTAGCTATGCTTTCTTGTGCTTTGTGCCTTGTGCTGTGCTATGCATGTTCCCTTCCACATCATCCATTGCCCCTCCATCGCAACTCCTCGGTTCATTGCATGCATACACGTTGGGACGACGACGTCTCCCGGGAGTGCTGCATTCCCCAGTGTTTGCTCCCAGTGGCAGTTGCAATTCCAATTTAACGCTGGCACTCGCCATTCCATCTCCATTCTCTCTTCCACGTTCCACCGGCAGGGTCAACTTCATGAAGTACCAGAAGCCGGAGCGCAAAATCGATCTGAATCGCAGCGAGGTGTACAAGTATCTCAATCCGCATCTGGACAGGGCGCCCGTGCGTGGCATCGAGGTGCGTGCCCCGCTGGTGGCCGCCGAGTCTGATATTCGCCAGTCACTGCAGTCGTAGGAAACAGGGAGAAGCCACCTGTACCAGCTCCAGAACAAGAACCAGCACCAGAACCTCCCTCCGAATGCCACAATACAAGCCAATCTTATAGGTACACACAGAGAAAAACAAGGGAATTGAAGTTGGATGTTCCCAAACAAAGCAGAGATTCATTGTGGTTGATTACGAATAAAATACAAGTTGTTGAAGACTTAAAAAAATCATATTTAGTGCTAAATTAATTCTCCCTTTTCTCTTTCAAGAAAATTACTATTAAAAGTATTTAATTTGAAATTATTTCACCTAATTTTTGTTCTCTGCATTGTCTGAAAAGGGTCTTAAGTAAATAAATGGTGATTGTACATTAGGAGAGTTACACTTGTTCAGAGCAGCGTTACCATATTTATTTAAATTATCAAAGCACCCAAAAAAAAGCTAATTTGAAGACCATTTCTTCTATATATTTACCCAACTTAAAACCCAGTGAATCTCTGCTGAGAAAATATAATATAACGCATCACTTTTCTGTTAAAATATATATCCAGACTTATGTTAAGAAAGCTTCAGCTCGTCTTTGATTAGCTTCAGTTTGAAGCCGGAATATTCATAAATTCACAAGTTGTTTGCTATCCATCAGTGCACCCATTCGCAGCCCGATTATCGCTTGGAGGATATAGAGAGAGAGAGGAAGCTCAACAAATAAAACCAGAAGCCATTGTCAAGCGAGAAGGGGTTCGCTGCCGTCTAATGCGATATTACATAATTTGTGTGCAACAAGGCGTATGTGTAATGTGTCGTGCATTTCTGTGGCATATCCTCAGGCGCCCTCGCCTGCTGCTCCTGCCTGGCTGCCCGACTGTTGCAATTTTCTTTCCACGCTCCATGCTCCTCGCTCCCTGTATGTGCGTGCGTGTTTGCTTATACTTGTGTGTGTCTGCTTTGTGGGTGACAAGCTCTTCGAATTTGCATTTATTAAGGCAAATGAATTGGTTCAGGAGCCAAGGGAGTGGGACAACAACAAAAAAAAAAATGGCAAATGACATGGCAAAATGGCAGCACCACAATAAACCCGTATTTAGTTATGGCACAAACATGGAGCTGTGAAATCAAAATTGTCGTCACGTTATGATGAAACCCGGAACGGGACGAGCGGAAGCGATGCGCACATTTCACTTGTCCCGCACTCAATCACACACACACACACACACGCACCCGGAATGATGAGACGCTTTTTTGTGTGCTGCCTGATTCGACGACGGGTAATAAAAACGCGCCAACTTAATGCACGTTTTATACGGACTTCGCGACGTACGTCGTTCGTCAAAGATCTACCGGATTTTCCGGGAACCGCGGCGTGGCGATGCTGGCGAGCTCTCGTCTTGGACTGTCACAACCGAGTTCGTGTTATCACTGCACTGGCTAGCACTGTGTTGAGTTCACGGGCTGCGCTTTGAGTGGCTTTCGCTTTGAGTCGAGTCGAGTCCTTCGGTTTTTTGGGACAGCTTTTCTGAGCGCTTCTGCGCCGAGCTTTGAGCCGGAATATGAGTCGTTGTGATTGCCCTGTGGGGGGGGGGGCAAATCGTCACGGGGTAGGTCAGGACCCGATGGTCGGGTGGTCGGGCAAAGGTGCAAATGGCGGAATGTCGGAAATAAAATTAAGATTTGCTCAACTTGTTGGCTAAAAGTTTGACTCGGCTTAATTGCCAAGCGGCGCCATTTACACTAAGCTACGCGCGACGCTTTGAAGTCGCTAATTCGATTGGAATGGTTTTAAAGGGCTTAAGCGTTGGGTTTACTTCGGTATAATCAATTTTAATTGGAAAACATTATAAATGCGGTAAGTTGCTACGTGATGCTACTATTCGACCGATACGAAACGATGAGATGATGAGCATCACTGATGCACATGAGCATCACTGATGCAGATGAGCATCACTAATGCAGATGACCATCACTGATGCAAGTGAGCAAAACTTTTCATTCAAATTGGCCGCTTTCCAAACTCGGGTAACAGGCGAACAGAACTGGTATAAATTGTTATAAAAACTTTTGGGCAAAAATAATAATTGGTATAAACTGTTATATTTCATTGTATGGATTTATACCTATTTGTTGCCGACAACAACAGCTTAATGGCAACAACAACCTTTTTACAACAACATCCCTACAGCAGCCCATCCAAATTTCCATGCAAATTGCCCGTTTCCCAAATTGGGATAACAGGCGAACAGAAATCAGCAGCAAGCAACTGAAAACTGGTATAAACTGTTATAAAAAGTCCAAGTTTCGAACCATTTAGGAGCCGGCGCAAGTAAGCGGAGACTCAAACCTTTTGAATCCAAATTTAGGTGTTATTTTACAACTGCACCTGGTCACACTGAAACTGATCGTCGTTAAATTCAAATTCAAATTTGGCAGTTAAAATATATTAAAAAAATGTAAAAAATTCTACATTTGAATTTGAATTTAACTGCCAAATTTCAAAGGGTTTGAGTCTCCGCTTACTTGCGCCGGCTCCTAAATGGTTCGAAACATGGACTTTTTATAACAGTTTATACCAGTTTTCAGTTGCTTGCTGCTGATTTCTGTTCGCCTGTTATCCCAATTTGGGAAACGGGCAATTTGCATGGAAATGTTCGGAAATTTGGATGGGCTGCTGTAGGGATGTTGTTGTAAAAAGGTTGTTGTTGCCATCAAGCTGTTGTTGTCGGCAACAAATAGGTATAAATGCATACAATGAAATATAACAGTTTATACCAATTATTATTTTTGCCCAAAAGTTTTTATAACAGTTTATACCAGTTTTCAGTTGCTTGCTGCTGGTTTCTGTTCGCCTGTTACCCCAGTTTGGAAAGCGGCCAAATTTTAGAAATTTTGCTCACTGGCATCAGTGATGCTCATGTGCATCAGTGATGCTCACTTCCATCAGTGATGATCACTTCCATCAGTGATGCTCACTTCCATCAGTGATGCTCACTTCCATCAGTGATGCTCACTTCCATCAGTGATGCTCATCTAGCTATATTGCAATATTGGGAGGCTATAAAATCGGGCTTAATGGCAGTGATGCTCATCTGGCTATATTGCAATATTGGGAGGCAATATATCAGGCGTAATAGCAGTGATGCCCATCTAGCTATATTTCTTTATTGGGACAAAATAGATAGATGAGCATCACTGATGCAAAGTCAGATTCAGTGTGCCCAGGTGCATTTAAGCAACATTTTAGCCAAAAAATGTACAATATGGTCACATCTGGTTTGAGTCTTCGCTTACTCCAAGATCAATGGTTCGAAACTTGGACTTTTTATAACAGTTTATACCAGTCTTCAGTTGCTTGCTGCTGGTTTCTGTTCGCCTGTTACCCCAATTTGGGAAACGGGCAATTTGCATGGAAATGTTCGGAAATTTGGATGGGCTGCTGTAGGGATGTTGTTGTAAAAAGGTTGTTGTTGCCATCAAGCTGTTGTTGTCGGCAACAAATAGGTATAAATGCATAAAATGGAATATAACAGTTTATACCAATTATTATTTTTGCCCAAAAGTTTTTATAACAGTTTATACCAGTTTTCAGTTGCTTGCTGCTGGTTTCTGTTCGCCTGTTACCCCAGTTTGGAAAGCGGCCAATTTGAATGAAAAGTTTTGCTCACTTGCATCAGTGATGCTCATGTGCATCAGTGATGCTCATCTGGCTATATTTTGCAATATTGGGGGCAATAAAATCGGGATATATGGCAGTGATGCTCATCTAGCTATTTTGCCATATTGGGAGGCTATAAAATCAGGCTTAAAGGCAGTGATGCGCATCTAGCTATTTTGCATTATTGGGAGAAAATGGCATTTCACTAACTGCCAGTGATGCTCATTTAGCTATTTTGCATTAAAATGCCATCTCACTTACTACCAGTGATGCTCATTTCATTGTTCGTATATAGGAAAAATAAAATAAAACAAAATAATATAAAATAATGTATTTCATTGTTTTTATTTAGGTTCATTAACATAGAATAAAATAAAGTATTTTAAAATTAAAATGTTGCTTGTTGTGTTCGTTGCTGTTGTTGTAAAAGTAGCCGGCAGACCTGACTGGAAGTCCTATTTATGACAGATTAACATTCCGGATCGAAACTGCCATGATACTTTGACTACTTCTACTTCTACTTTTGGCGGTGCTCTCTCCTTATCCCTGATTCCTGATCCCTATTCCTCCATTCCCATCCCTTATCCACCATCCTTTTGCGTGTGTCGTTGGTCCTTTCCCTTGGTTCTTGTCCAGGGTGGGTGTCAGGTCTACTGATACTGATGACTAGGAGCGATGGCGATGGCAATGACGATGGAAAGTCTGTAATTGAACAGAGAAAAATAGCAAATTAAAAACTAAAAAAGGCATAACTCTGTCAAAAATGCCTTAATTTGCATTCGGAAAGCGGTGTTATGTTAGTTTTTATAAGGTTAACAAATCTGCATACTTAGTTAGAAATTGAAAATTTTATCAAATTTTGAGAATTTTAATGATGTAACCCCTGACCCCTGACCATTGATTTTTTTCCTCCGGACTTAGCCAGAAAGATGCGCCTGCTAATGCTGATCAAGAATATGGGTTTATGGGGTCGGAAATGACTCCTTCAATGCGTAATGAGCTTCGGACTGGAAATAAAATACCCTGCCAGGGTATACAAATTATAGCTTCGTTCTTTTTCAACGTATGTTTATCTACTCTCAGATATAAGCTTTTTTTATTATTCTAGAATTTTGGTATAAATTTTATAAAAATCGGACAACTATATCATATAGACAGAAGGACAGACGGACAGACGGACAGAAGGACAGACGGACAGACGGACATGGCTAGATCGACTCGGCTGTTGATGCTGATCAAGAATATATATACTTTATAGGGTCGGAAAGGTCTCCTTCACTGCGTTGCAAATTTCTGACTGAAATTATAATACCCTGCAAGGATATAAAAATATTGTTATCCATCCTGGTTTAAGCTTCCACTCCCTTGTAAGAAAACCAAGTTTCAACTGGATTTTTTGTAATTTTATTTGAATTTGAATAAACAATACTAGACAACAACTACTTAGAAGTAAGTACAAGTTCATACATACAAGTTACATAAAAATAGTTTAGGTTAGGCTCTCAGCTGCGCTCCGCCGATCCGAACGAATATAATCTTTGAAACGAACTATATGTGTATGTATTTATATGTATGTTGTATATGTGGTGTATAATATAGAGTCATGTATAAGTACAATGTGTTTTTTGTGAGGGTTCATTTGTGTTTTTGCTTGTTTTCAAATACAAAGAAGGCAAAATTACAGCGGCTACACCGCCCAGCGGAGCGATCCCTTTAGAAGGGAGACCTCCGAGGGCGAAGGGCTTACAACGA